TTTGAATTTTGGTAGTAAGGTTTCACATTTACTGATGAGTATTGCACTGGGAGTATTTTTCGGAAAGTAGTATATTTGCAGATATTTCACGCATGATTATGCCAGCCAACCAATCGTTTGTTTCAATACGTTTAATTCTCATATAATATTTCAGGCCGAGCGGCTCGTCGTATTCAATATAACAGACGATTTGTGAATATAGCTGTTAGTGGAATAGGCAGAAAACGTGGGCCAAATTCAAATGCTGCATAAAAATGAAATTTTATCGAATAATCTTTACTTATTTTCAGTAATGTAAAGAGCTTCATTTCAAATATATGTAACGTTCGTATATGAAATAAATTTGTTGTTTTGATTTTTGTCATACAGAATAATCTTTTGCAAATATAAGATACCGTTTATCTAGTTGAGGAGTCGAATATAGCCAAAAGGGATAAACAGAAGATGGTGCATGTTACTCTCTAGTAGTCTTTCGATTTGGGGATATCACTTTCGGAAGTCACGCGGCTCGGCTTTTGGTGCTGTTCTTGGGATATTGTCTTTAAAGTTTAATTTCAAGCGTTTGAAGTGTATGGGTTTTGGAGGCGTGATTATAGCCTGTTGTTGTTAGATGCCGTTGTTTTCTTTTTTCCACTTTTCCAAGTTGTTTTCTCTTTTCCACATTAGTAAATTATATTATGGATTTTGAAATGACGTTAAATTTAGGAAGACATCACTTGAGGTAGTTGGGGTGTGCGATATGTCAATGAAGTTGTTGAAGGAAGCTATTAAGCTTGTAGATGCAGGTTCGTTAATTTCAGTCCTAGTTTTTATTTCAAGGAAAAAATGAAAGCGGTTATAGAGTTCGTTCAATATGTGCTAGGTTTTCCTTCTTTTGTAGTGAAATAGAATGATTAAGTATTGAACATGAAAATTCGAATAGTAATAATGGTAATGAGGGAAGGAAGTTCCATTCCGGTTTCATAATGTATATTCCATAAAAACTAATAAACACCTAATGGGAATATATCAGTGTTTTTTGGTTTTACTCGGATTTTGCAGATTACATATTTGAATAGTAGAGATAAAACTTTTACCTTTCTTTCATCCATAGCACTTTATGTGAACGTATTCTAAATTGCTTTATTTGTTTATTCATATTTTCACTTTTTAGGGTATCTTTATTTTTAGATGATAATGTGAAAAGTACAGTAACGGTACGGAAATCAGGAAGACCTTCGAAGGCAGAAAGAGACCGTCAGCAACTTGCTGCTATAGCCACTATTTCAGAATACGATCCGGAATTAGATGATATAACCATAAATTCGAGTATGCGACATGTAATGAATCACAGTAGGAAGAAAATTGCGAAGGTAATAACCAAAAAATAATGGAACAATAAGAAAATGTCCAATTTTTGATGATTCTTTTGTTGTCCATTTCTTTTTAAGTCAGCATTCTTAGGTGTAAACTTTAAAAT